AGGTACCATACCAATGCCTGACATTAGGCCAGACCGATTCCTGAGATGAACACACGCGGAAGGGACTGAGGAACAGCAAAGGTGCGCTCTCTGCCTCTTTGCCTCCACTGGCCTCTAGCCATTTGTGCTGATTTGAGCTAAACCAGAACTAAGACTGTTTGGTGATTTTACTTTTCAGTTGTTTCTTCTAACTAACTGCACTTTCTGAAATCAACAGATTGTTTTTCCAGACAGTGACTGCTTCTAGTAGTGACAACGCTTGATGTTTGTAGTTACTACCAAGGAATGGCATGCAGAGAGGCCCTGGCTTATACTTGCTCCTACAGTCACCAAGGCCACTGCTAAATCTTGTACTCTGTGCTGGGGACCTGTAAGTGAAAAGGGTCACAAGCAGGCGAAAAGGTCGCACCTGCAGGGAGGAGCGAATCAGACAGGTGACCCAAACCTGACCAACAGAGTATTCCACCCCATATACGCCATATTCAGCATAAAGCTGAGGGATCACGAGGGTTCAGTTCTTCTTCGACGGTCGACATCCAAGCAGGACTGCATCTGTTCTTCTGCCTTCGATCCCAATCTCTGCATCCCTGAGTCCAGCTCCTGCATCTGGTTCCCGTCTGCTGCCAAGTCCAGCCTGGGACTGCCCCAGTGCCAGCCCTGCAGCGTCAGTGGTGACGTATCGTCATCAGGGTGGGGGGAGTTGGTTGGTTTTGTTATCTATTTATTTTTTTTTTTAATTGTTACTGTTTCATTAAATCTGTTTTAGTGTTCTTTTACAGCGCATCAGTCCCTCTCCCTTGTTCTCTCTTGCTTCCCCTTCTGGGAGGGGAGAGGGATCAACAGCGAGCATCTGTCATTTGGTAGTGGCTGACCCAGCCTCAACCCTTGACGCTGTTCAGGCAAGCTTCTGCAACCCTTCCTTATCTGTTATAATTTATCTCACATTTAATCACATCTGCAGCAGGTTGCAATCGTGGCTGTTGTCCCAGGCCTCAACTCTACCAAACCTGGCAGCAGAAAGCACACACCGCTACATACCGTTCCCATCTTCTGGCACGGGATTGCACATGCCCTTCACCCTTGCTGTAATTAACTGAGCTGCTATTAACTTGCAAAAAAAAGAAAACCAAACCCAAAACACTCAAAACCCCATGTCTGCTTAGGACAGACATGCATACTTTTATGTAGCCCTTCACTAGTTAAGACTGTAGAAAAAGAAACTTGCATGGGAAGAGCTGTTTTTCTCAAGGCTAGAAATAACTGCTTGCTCTTAAACAGTGCCATGTGAACAGCTTTGTATTAATAAGAGCTATTAAATGCCTTTGAACCTGCAATGCTAGGCACTTTGATATCCTGTGCCAAGGTGCTACGCATGAATAGCCAGAGGCTTATGCAAACTACTTCCTCACAAGAATATTAATTTAAACTAACTTAGCAGTTAAGTGACAATGCACAGACAAACACCACCTGACAGCTGCCGAACCACAAGGCTCAGACACTTGGTACCACAGAACTGAAAAGCGAGGCTCACTAGCTGTAACTGGAAAGGCACTTCCATGTTCCCAGCCCCAAGAAGTCCTCACACTGCAGGCTGTAGGATTGTATCCAAGCAGAAATACCATCATGCACCTGTCCCATTTTTTAGGTTCTCTCTCAATACCGCTACTAGCGACTGCTGGAAACAAGACCCCAGGAAACAGAACTTATTGACCCAAGAAACACGTTCTTGTCTCACTGTGGCCTCACATTTTCAGCTAGTCATGGCTAATAAAAGAATCTAGTGCTTTGCACGCCCTTAAACTTGTTTCACAATTATAAAAGCTGCAAGTTGGCCTGAGCAATTTAAACATCTAAACTATCCCCATGCTATTGCCTTGTTAAGTACACAGCACACAGAAGATGTACCTGTGGGGAGGGTGACAATTCAATACAAATACAAAATGGGTTTTGCAATTACAGTTCAGAAATTTTCATTAAAAAATACATTTAGCCGTGTGATAGTTACAAGAAGAGGTCAGTTGTGTGCACATATATATGCTGCAGAGCACAAAGCACAGCTACTCCTGTGCTTGATTTCCAGCTTACAGAATAACAGTGCCTTTCCATTAGATGTAACTACTCACCATACCAAATTTTCCTCATATATGCTCATGATACATTTCTGTGTCATTTCTGATTGATCTTAAGATCCTTGTCCTCAATTATATCCTAGCACCTGGCTGGACCCTTTTACTCATAGGACTCCACGTGACTTGAAATATTCAAGACAATGTACAGTGCAGTAGTATTGCAGGGGGAAGAGAAAAAAAGAGATGGTCACTTCATTTTAAAATGTATCTATCTGCCCTCACACAGGCAAAAAATACCATTCTGCTGCCAGTGTGGCAGCAAAGGAAAACCAGAGCAGAAAACACTCAGTAATCTCATGTTCACACAAATCCAATAGGCTGAGTCTTAGTTAATCATTTTCCTAACAGCCCCAGTTTTTTAACACGCACTGTAAGAATGTAAATCTAACATTTCCAAGAAACTACATACTTCTGACAGAACAGTTTTGAGACAGATGTACTGAACGGAATGACTACTATGGCTAATTCCTCATTTTCTTGGAGAACAGCAATATTTTTTGTTCTTTGGACGAAACTGATGGAAGGAAAACAAGCTACCAACTGCAAGAAGATGGAATACTCTAAGCAGTGGCAAAGATGCTCGGCAAATTGTCTGATCAGAAACTTCTTCCCAAAAAAAACAAGGCAATCTCACAGTTTCTAACGCCCTATTTCTCCCTTCTGGGCCAAGTTTAAGTTAAACACTTACCTGACATTCATAAATTCCCAAAGTATTTATTGCAGTTCCCATTTACCAAGAAACCTACAAAACCTGAAAGAAATGGCATCAACTTCAAGACCTGCATAACACGCAGCTGCTCATGTCCTTAGTAGACAGACTGCTAAAAGCACGCTTCAGTGGTGAACCATATTTTTAACTGGAAAGTCAGTTCAGTTGAAGTTTCAAGTGTAAGTTAGTTCTGATTTTTAAAGGCTTCTTGGAACACCAAGGGAGTAATTTTTTGCACTTCTGCAATGGAGACACCTACACGCTGTGGTACATCCTAAGCAGTAAGTCACTAGCATTGCCTTCTAGGAACTCAACCCAGAACAAGACATTGAAAAAGTTACCAGGGGGTCTCATTACATTTGAACATAACGAAGAAACAAATCAAAGCCAGCTAACATACTGATATCTTTCTAGTCAGGCTTTCCACTACACCATAACTACAAAATTCACCTGTTTGTTTTGGTTTTCCTCAAAATTCCAAAACCCTGCAAACAGATCTGTTATCTTCCCATGGGTAAAGAAGGGAAAAACACCTATTGCCTTTAAATCTTTGGGAATTTAGTATGTACCGTTGTGGTTAATGTCCGACACCTGCAGGAACGGAAAAAGTCCAGAAATTGCTGTATAAACTAACTTTATCTTAGGAATACTTGTGCCACTGAGAAACCTAAGGACAAAAGTACTACAGTACTGGTTTTCTTTTCAAACCACCCACTGTAACATGCAAACATTTTTTTGGTAGGATTGTCAGAAATCTTTTAAAACAAAGACATAATTTTGTATAAATGCACCTCCTTGTGTCCAAAACATCCTTTTTCTCTGAACAAAGCTTCATTAAGAACTATTGTAAACATTTCCTGCAAACACAAAATACCCATCAAATCTCGCCTAAGGGGAAGTAACTGGATTGCAGACATTAGACTCAAAAGTTTTTAAATACAAAAAATAAAATCCTCATCCTTCAGTTTTCAAAACTACAATCTCATGCTACAAAATTCAGAGGGCTGTCAGATGACAACAACTTAAGAACTACAACTAACCACACTTCCATTGTTTTGAGATGTATTTCTAGAGTGAGGTAATTTGGTGTAGTTCCCAAGTTGTGTCATAAAAAGAGGAAAAACGGTAATCATTTTCAACCTGCTAGAAAACATGTTTGGAAGAATTCATGTTGATTTCTATCAAAATCAAAAAAAAAAAAAATCAATATTGTTCTAAGAATTAGGACAAAAATGCTCTGGAGGAAAAGTAGCCTTTTGAATTTTGAAAACATTTGCTAAAGAATTTATGCAACCACCCGGTACACACATTATTTTTTTCCCCGATGACGACCAGCCAGCGCGCTAATACAGCAGTTACTCAGAACGCGACACGGTTACACAACCTATCTAGGTGACCCTAACGGACACGGGTGTACACAAATAACAGCACTTTAAAAAAACCAGCTTTTTTAGTCACAGGACTTATATTACAAAGGAAAAAGTTTATCGTTTACTCACTGAAATGTACAAAGTAATAGTCCTGGAAGTACATACTTCTAGTTGCAAAAGAGACTACAAATAACTGGGTTTTGGCCATGGAATCAAATCCTTAATATATACAGGAAAAGGTTACAGGCATATTCTTACTTAAAAGAAACAGTAGCATTTTGTTTAATACAAAAATACTCTTCAAGAGTAAAAGACAAGCAAGAGAAAACCTCCAATAAAGGCAAAAACTCTCAAATATTTCTTGCACATCTCTACCATGACCAAGTAAAGGACTTCTTAAGCATTATGTTCATTGAATTAATTTTGAAAAGGATTTGAAACAGAAGGGAATAATGATACAGCTGCTGTTTTATACTCCTTCGTGAAGCTTGCTCTCCACACAACACTTAAAAAACCAGTGCTATTTCAGATAGGAAATAGTGAGTTATGGCATATATACAAACACCTCTAAATGCTGTAATTATGAAGTTCCGCCCCCACTTTTTATGCTGTTCTCAGGCACTACTTTCAGTCCCATTTCAGGATCCCACTGTACTAAAGTTGTGTACTGGTTACTCTGGTTGGATCAGAACAAGTGCAACTTGTAGATGTTCGTAGTATAACACAGACTTCCCATATTCTTCAGTAATGCTGTCCTTCCTCAGTTCTGGTTAAACACTTCAGCAACCCTGGTTAGTCAGTTGGCCTGTAAGCAATCACAGGCTGTTCTTCACCAACATCTATCAACATATCTAATGGAACATGAGGCTTGTCATAGCCAGAAAACTTGAGACAGCTGCTTGGAATGACTGTTTGCTGTATTTCTGTGGCAGAAACCTCTGGCTCTGAAGAGTTACTGCATATATCCATTTGGCTACTGTCAGAAATGAAATAACTCTCTTTTACTTTGTGATTCTGTTCATCATCCGAAGATACCTCCTGTGTGCTTTCCTGCACAGACACCTCTTCTGCTTCAGCCGGTGCCTCTGGCAGAGGAACAGAAGATGCTCCTTCACTGGAATTCTCCGGACTAACAGTTTCTTCTTTTGGCTCTACCTCCAGCGAGGTTACTTCATCATTCACTGGCAACGCTGACTGGCCTGGCATGAAGCTTATTACAGATACGTATTTTGCCTCTGATTTTGATTCTAGAATGCTGCCTGTGTTCAGGTTTCTTATCACACTGACCTTAAATGGGGGGAAAAAAAAAAAGAAAAAAAAACCTTTTAGTTTCACACAATCTACTAATTCATTTGCTTTACCTTTACCGTCAGAGTTTAGAGGTTAAAAAAAAACCCAAAACAATACAAGTTCATAATACAAATTTAACATCGTTACAACCAATCCCAACAGAAATTAGCAAGATTAGAATCTGTCAAGGTCATTAGCATATGTCTATGTCTTCAACCGTTTCCGTAAACGCTGTCATTCAAGTTCTAAAAAATACTTTCTATGTGCAAACACTTGGAAGGGCCAAACCCTTTTCATGTCACCCACTGTACTTTAAGTCAACTGAAGCTGGCAATGTAGAGGAAGACAGCAAAGGAATAAAAAGCTGTAACACTCTTCAACTAGCTGGGAAAACCTTTCATACTCTACAGCTAATGAGTGCAACTTGCAATGACTAGTATTTCGTGGCAACTGTCTCAACTGGGAAAGAAGCGAACTTTGGAAAGAGATCTTTCAAATTACGTGAGAACCTTTATGTATACCCAGTAGTCATACCTATGCTGAAGTCTTATTTATTTCTCCTGTGTCACTAAACACTCCCTCAACACTGCGACATACTTTAGTGTTTCACTTTGAAATCCCCTACAGGAAGAACATGTTAATTTCTCCAACGGCCAGGCTCCAGCTTGTTTTAAACGGCATGCCTTCAGGCTGTTTAGATGCTTCTGATTTTTAATTTTTTTTTAAAAAGGTGTTTTCAAGAACACCTACAAAGAACAAAGTAGGGTAATTTTTCAGCTGTATGATGGTGTTCCCTAAAGCTGACAGAAAGCACAGGGAGAAAGGGTTACTCAGTTAGTAGTGTCCTTTTCCATAACTCGTAATTCACTATATATGCATATCACAGACTATCAGATACTATAGATAAGCTAATTTCTTATTAAAATGTACACCATCACTGTTTTTTGAGATACTTTGTAAAAAAATAATCTGACTGAAAATACAGGCTGAGACGAATTTGGAAGAAAGGGATGTACGTAGGAGGAGAAAAGGCAGATAAAAATAATGCTGTTTAAGAAAGCTACAAATAGGCAAAAAGAACCTTGCAGTCTGTATTAGTGTAAGAAGAGAGCACCATCGAAACCAGATGATCAAATCTGCCTGCGCTTTTCAAGAATCTTCCTTTACATTCATACCTTCACAGTGTGCTGACTTCCTTAGAACTTGCCTTCATTTCTCACTTCAGCCCCACACCCTTCCCCTCAGTTGCCCTGCTATTTGTTGATGGTACAGTTTTATGCTGGATTAATGAAACTATTAGAGTTTAAAAAAAAAAAAAAAACACAACAAAAAACCAAACCAAAAAACCCAAAGAAACCCTCCCTGGAGAGCAGTTATTTGTAATCTGAGTTTTACAAACAGCTGTGTAAGCACCACTAAGGCGAAGTGATCCACTTGGGAATCAAGGGCTGCCACTGGAAAACTAGTAAAAAAAGCATTAAGGTGGCTCCTGACACTGAGAATATACTACACTACAACCTCGCTGTCATTCAGCAATCATTCTCTCTGGATGTTCATTTTCTGTTATGTGGAAACAGTCAGAATACTATATAAAGACTATCCAGAGTGATTTCCGTAAGTATGTATGGAAACCGCCTGTTCATAAAAAGCAGACGCTTAAAAGATAGTTGCAGAAACCAGAATATAATCAATAATGCATAGACTTTGAAAATGTTATGAACAGCTGGTAGGATTAAAGTATCTTTTGAAAACCTGTTTATATAGATATATGAAAAAACATTGGATACTTATCTACACCAACACTGACCTTGAAGGGACCAGCACCTGTAGGTTTTTTTGGGGTAGCAAAAAGCTGACTCCAATAGTCACACAGTAAGTGACAAGAGAAGATAATTCTCTGTGTAAACTGGAATACTTGAGGAATGTGAATTAAAACAAAATGCTATAGAAACGATGGCTAAAGGCTGCATTTACAACTTCACATCTCTCTTCATACCAGTACATGCTATACTAAAGTTAAAATCAAAACCCAACGAGTTCTTGCTTCTGTCCTTTAAGGATTTTCGCGAGTCTAAAAATCACAGTCCTAAAATGTGTTAAGGGAACACCTCGTACTCTACACAGGTTCTGCATTTCGCAGTGGCAGCCGGCAATGCTTAGAGAGAGATCCTGAGGATAAAATAAGTATTCTCTACACAACTACATCCAAGACTTTTGTTCTCAAAAAGGAAACGCATTTTTCTCTTGGTGAGTTTTTGACCCCAGCAAGATGGTGCAAACACACTACTATTCCCAACCACGAAAGAAGGAAGCAATCAGCAGAAAAAATTCTCGTGGATTTCCTGGTACCAAAGGTTCTTTAAGAGTCACTGAGTCATGACTACACGACAATTTAGCAACCCATGCAGTTATTTCTAGCTTCAAAGAGAAGAATCGCGGCTTACTATGCTAACTGGAAAGCCATTCAAAGCATTTCAACTAGCAAGGGTAATTAAGACATGGTTGCTATTTGAAGAGAAGTATTTACTGTAGGTAAGTTAATATTTTTCTTTAGTGCACATTATCTAATACTAACAAACTGACAGCCAGCGAGCTTCAGCTGGATGTCAGCAGTACTTCCTGGCACATGCAGGTGCTCGGGGATCTCCCTGTCTCCGATGACAGCACCTGAGCTTTCAGGCCTTTCACTGTCCCAGCAGACTATGGAGATATACTGGTGGAAGCCAGGCTCAAGGTTACACATAAATAACATCCCAAGGAATACATAAGAGTTAAGGTAATCACAGTTTACTTCTTAACTTTCTTTTCTAAGGGTCTGTCCATCTATGAATTCTCAGTAATTCTCAGCTGCACACTTTCTGGAAGAGAGTTTGAGAAGTCCATTTCAAACCTTATCAGGACTTTGAAAGGAATTTGCATGGCCTTTGCATAGTTCAGGAATAATTTAATGCTGTGTAAACGTATAAATAGGAGACTATGTTACTGCCCTATAGATGCTCACAGGAAAAAAAAATGAATCTTCACAAAAGCTAAAAAAGCAGCTTCTCTCTTGTAAGCTGACAATTATTTGTGGCAAATATCAGTCAAAATTTACAGGAACAATTAAAATTTCTCCAAATCAAAAATACATGTTGTATAACCAAAAAAAGCTAGAGTCACAAAGAAAGTAAAGATCTTAAGTGTTTTGTGAATATCCATAAGTGTTCTACAAATATAGTGAGAGAACACAGCCTTGTCGTTCCTGTCAGGCTCAGAAAAAGCACCAGCAGATAGCAGAAAAGTTGACTTAAGTATGAGCTAAAAACGAAAGCTGATGCTTTTCAGTGAGTCTTTCTCTTATAGAGTGGGTGTTTTCTATCCATTAAAATATTTGCTACCATTTAAAGATAAGAGGCACTGGAAAAAAAAGACAGTGAAGCAGAGGGACATGCTCACAGTGCATGAGTAAATAAAGGCCAGGCTCCTTTTAAAGTGATTAAGCCCTTATCACAAATCTTCCAACAAAAAGCTAGCACAGGACAAATTATGCACTAGTTAAAGTGGAATGACTGAAGATGGTGAGTGGAAGGAGACGTCCTCTTGAAATACTTCTTGTGAGATAAACAAAAGAAAACGAACACCTAACTACAGCTGGACTGCTGAAACATCAGGTTTGTGTGATTCAGCAGAAGACCAGCATGATGTAGTAAAGGAATCTGGCCCATGTCACTAGATGCATATTCCTGGTAGGATCCTACTATGAGTAAGGATGTCTAAAACATTTAACTGAAGATTTTCTCTAATGAGGGTAGTCATTCAACGCCCATACTGAAAGAGAGTTGCACTGTGGAAGAAGGACCTGTACATGACTGACACGTTATTCTTGGGAGTCACAAACCACATAGAAAAGACAATATAAAGGTTTTTGAGATCTAAATGGCAATTATTATTTTTTTTTTCTTTTGGGTATATGAGACTCCTAGCAAATGCAGCTGCTTGATGGTTACTCTTTCTTATTTTTCCTTCTGTTGGAGAATTCCAGCTTACCGAAATTCACTCAAATGGTGTTTTAGCATCTACTTAAAGCTGCCAGGAAGCAGAGCCCTGGAAGGCAGCAATCCTAAGGTAGCCTGGCTTTTTAACAGATGAAAAAACTCCCTAGATGTTTCATTTTCAGACAAGCTCAGCTAAAGCATGATGGTCATAAGCCGTAAGGAAAGAAACATCTAGAACACATTGAAAGGTCAGTGACAGGCTCTCAGCTCCAAGAAGTCTACGGAGATAACTTCATGTCATTACACTTACTATTCATATCAATTATTTACATTTTTACTCATTATTTTAAATTATTGATTATTAAAATGATCAATAATTAATGGTAAGTTATTAATTATTCATTTTATATTTCCACATTATTTATATCATCTGCACAGAAACTATCTTTTTGAGCTCTGCAATTTATATTTGTCACTAGAGAGTTCAATGGAAATGGACGGAATCACAGAATATCCTGAGTTGGAAGGGACCCATGAGGATCATACAGTCCAACTCCTGACTCCACTCAGGGCAACCTAGAAGTTAAACCACACATCTAAGAGCATGGTCCAAATACTTGTTGACCATTAGCAGGCTCAGGGCTGTGACTGCTTCCCTGGGGAACTTGTCTCAGTGCTTGACCACTCAGGTAACAATCTTTAATAAATAGTTAGAGGTTTCATGCAGGGTCCTCAGCAACAAAACGTGACGTGGAACGTGAACCAGACTGTGGTATGCTGGAAGCTAGGAAACATGAGATAACATATAGCCCAGTAAATTGAGAATATGGGCACAAAATTGAGTTTCTACATTGTGAGCTAAAGTGTGAACTTGGAGCATGCATCAGGAAGCTCACGGGAGTTAAGCAGCACACATTCTATTTGTGTGACACACTTTTTCCTGATCCCTTAGATGCAATGCCACAATGGTATTAGAAGCCAGAATAACTATGGATCCATCCACTCAGCATAGCACTGCAATTCTGGATGAGCTGTCTTTTGCTATAATCAACGGTCTTCACCAAAATTACTCTGTGTGCACGTAGGACACAATGTTATGTATTCACAGTTACGTGCTGGTGTGAAGATGGAAAAAACCCAAACCTCCAGTGTCTCACTTTTTCTACAGACCTGTGTGTTTTCATATTGGGGGTCTAGCTGCAGATTCCATCAGACAGGTTTCTCTCATCTGATTTTTGAAGTCTACGGTGTGAATGGCTATCTCTGAACTAGTCTCAAGGCTCTGTTGCAGACCATGGAAAGAAATAGGTATCTTAGAGAGTGTTTTGTCTGACCAGAAGTGCATATTATTTTAGAATGAGATAACCATCTCATGCTGCACAAGTTGATGGACTAGATTACTGCTTACTACTAAGGGACCCACCTAGCATCACAGGCTTGTACATCTCCATTTAGTCAATCTCACCTCCTAATATTCTGTTCCAAACAATGCAGGATCCAGGAACATCTTAGGCATCGAGCTA